GGGAGGGGGGACGATTAATCCAAAGCCATTGGGCCAGGAGTGGCGAAACCAGTACTAAAATGAGTCTTCCATTGAGATGGGCTCTCCTTGGAGTCTGGAGTCTGTGAGAGGCTGGACTGGGCAAGAAAACACGAGGGGGAAAGGGTGCAAGAAAGCCCCAGAACGTGCCTCACAGAGGTGGCTCTGCTTGTGGGACTCACACCCACTCCCTGTGAGAAGTCAACTCGGGCATTCTCATCTTGCTTCCACGACCCCTCCTCACCTAACACATTGAGCCAGTGCTGCAGTCTGTGTCCATGAAGCCATGCCCAAGTGTGAGCCACTGGTGGTACGCACCAGCACCAGTGCATTACGGGACCTGGAGAATATTTCTTGGTCCAGCCTTGGGGAGGGTGGGAGCCAATCCCTTGGGTTGTCCAGTGCCGCTGTCAGATCCTCCTCTGTCCCAGTGGTGCCTGTTCTCTGGGCCCTGAGGAGAGACATGTTGATGGGTCACTAGGAAGAAGCGGAGAAGGGAGAGGTCTGCCTATCGGGCTAAAGAGGAGTTTCCACTTAGGCCGTAGACATGTTCACAGGTTCCAGATGGTTTCCAAGTGAGCATGTGTGGTGCTGGAAGTCATCTGGGTGCTGACGGTGCAGGAGATGACTTAGGCGGGAAAGTACTTACCTACTGTGTGCAAGTCCCTAAGCTCAGTCCCCAGCACTGTAAGACAGTGTGGAATCTGCCTGTGCTGGCTAGTGCTCATGTCTCCTAAAAACAAAAACTCAAGAAAGGGCAGTCATTTCTTCCAAGGTTTTCCCAATAGAAACCCCCCAAATCGCGATTTGGTTTCTGCATGCCTCTTGCAATCTGCTGGAATACCAGTCTAAGTCTGGAAATCATCCTGAAACTGATTTTATTTTACACTTGATAAAATACACACTTACTTTAACTGTGTTCAAAAGCTGTAAACTGGGGCCGAAGTGATAGTCCTGCAGCAGATAGGATGTCAGTCTTGAATGCAGCTGACAATGAGTTCAATCCCTAGCACCCTGTATGGTTCCTTGAGTCCACCAGGAGTGATTCCTGAGTGAGAGCCAGGAGTAAGGTCTGAGCACCACTGGGCATGACCCAAAATGAAAGAAAATAATAATTTTAAAAAAGGACAAAACTAATGAGGAATGATGTTAATTCCTAAATTCCCTATTCCTCTCTTCCTGCCACTTCTCCTGTGTCCTGGTATATAACCTCAGGTAGCCTATAATTTGTTTTGGCTAATTCAATCACTTCACTTAATCACTTAACTTCCCGTTAGTCGTCGATTTGCTCGAGCGGGCGCCAGTAACGTCTCCATTTGTCCCTGCCGCGTGCTCGTGTAGCCCAATGGCATCCGTTCGCTCCGGGAACATGGAGGGCCTCAAACCGATCGTTCATGATCTTGACAAAGAAGTCTGACCATCTGGTAGGTGGGCGGCCACGCGGTCTCTTGACATCCCGTGGAATCCAATCAGTAACAGCTCTAGTCCAACGGTTGTCTTTAAATCTCATTACGTGACCAGCCCATCTGATTTTCGACACCTTGGCAAATGAGACAGCGTCCCTGATCCTTGATCGTCGACGGATGTCAGAACTCCGGATTCGTTCTCTCATTTGAGTGAAACGTGATATTCCAAGCATAGCTCTTTCTATTCTTCTTTGGGAGACCTGAATGGCGTTCTCATCTTGTTTGCGGAGGGCCCAGGTCTCTGAGGCATATGTTAATGCAGGAAGAACAGTGGAATCAAAGAGATGTGCCCGGAGCCGGAGGTTCTTCGTCCTCTTAGCTATTTCTTCGACGTTCTTGAAGGCGTTCCAAGCCGCTCTCTTCCTCCTGCGCAGCTCGGGTGCCAGGTCCTGGCACCTGGCACCTGGCTAATTCAAAGAAAAGAGATAAAAAAAAACCCACTTAAGGGTGTTCTTTTGACTCCCAGGTTATCATTCTCCTGCAGAGAACTACGTCTGGAATGATGCTGCAGCTTAGATTTAATTTTGATGAGCCAGCTTGCTTTCTCCTGCCTCCAGATGCATGCTGCCCTCTTTACCTTTTTGTCCATCCTGAAGATGTGTTCCTAGGAAGGATTTGGCAGCAAGGCCTGGATATTTCTTTAACTTAATCCACAGCTAGCAACAGTATTAGGGGAACAATTTACAGCACATTGATCACCAGAATCCTATTCACTGCAGAGTACTAGAATGGTTACTGACCGTGGCCTCCCAGCTAAGCGTCAAGGCTTATTTTGCCCCGTTCAGTTTTGTTTGTTTGTAATTCCCCATGGGTTGAATAGTGTCAAGTCAAAGGCAAGACTGTGTCATGTTTTGGTAATATGATTTTTCCCCATTGGCGTATGCCACGCTCTGTGGCAAACATTGAGATACTGACTTCATGGCCAACAAGTCAAATCTACGCAAGTTGGAAAGATTTCCTCTTTATCTCCAGTGCTTGACAGTTGTATCATGATGAGACAGAGGCCAGAGCTGTGTTTTGTTGATTAGAGCAGCGGGTTTCCACCTCTTCACAACCACAGGCCGACGGTTGGAAACCACTGGGTTAGAGGATTCCTATCTTGTGTCTTCAACCCACAGGGGAGATATTGGCTCTTATCTCTGATGTTGCCTCCCACTCCTTGGTCATCCTCTTAGAGGCCATTCTGAGATGTGATGTGATCGAGCATCACTCTGACTTCAGTATCGTTTCCCTTTCTTGGGGTGGCTTGGTTTCAGGGCCATACCCAGCAGTGTTTGGGGTCTTCGTCCAGTGCAGTGTTTGGGGGCTGCTCCTGGCAGTGCCCAGAAGACCATCTTGTGTCTGGCCTCTTGCATGCCAAGTGTGTGCTCTTCTGTGGTCTCTCCTGCCCATGCAGGCGCCTTCATAGGTAGTAACTACTTTGACTTTGGGGGGTGAGCTCCCAAGGTGTGCTCTGGAATCTGGGGGCCCCATTGGCAACTCTCCACCAGCTGCACCTGCAGTTCAGTTTAAAGGCCTGAGGATATAACGCTGCTTGAGCCCCGCTGTATGGGGGATGCCTGGGCCATCCCGGAAGTGCTGGGGCATGCGGGGTCACACTAGGCTGTGCTTGAGGGACATTTTGCAGTCAGACCTGAGTTAGGTGAGTCATCCCTATTTCTACTTTGGTTTTTGTTTGGGGGGGGGCGGGTGGGAGGCACACCTGACAAAGCTCAGGGCTTTCTCCTGACCCTGCACTCAGGATTCACTCCTGGTGGTGCTCAGGAGACCATATGTGGTACCAGGATCAAACCCAAGTCAGCCGATTGCAAAGCAAGCACCCTACCCACTGTGCGATTGTTCCAGTTCCCTTATTTTTACTTTTTTTTTTTAAATCCCCAGTCATTTCCTTAGATCTGTCTACTGTTTAACCTATCAGTTGAAGTATTCCCACTTTACTTCAGTGACTGCATTTTCATTTCTAGACACTCGACTTGTTTTTCTTCATGCCCTTCCATGTTTCATTGTGGATTTTATGTGTGTAATTATATTTCTGTATTGACTTTGCTCTTACATGTACTCTGATTTCATCGCAGACCCAGTTCTATTCACTGCATCTGTTGGTTCTCCCCCTGGAGGTGATTTTCTCCTAGGAGTTGTGATTCTTTCTTGTTTGGGGAACCACACCTGGCAGTGCTCATTTTTTGTTTGGGGGGACCACGTATGGCAATGCTCAGGGGTTACTCCTGGCTCTGCAGTCAGGAATTAGCCCTAGTAGTGCTTGGGGGACCTTGTGAGATGCTAGAGATCGAACCCAGGTTGGCTGCATGCAAGGAAAGTGCCCAACGTGCTGTACTAGTATTCCTCGATTCTTTCACTGTGAGTTCCTCATTGGCATGGATACTTGTTCCTGTAGAGAACCCAAGAGCACTGGCTGGGAGAACATTCCTCTGGAGAAATTTTGCTCAGACCCTGGGGGTGGCTGTTATCTTGGTCCGGGATTTCAGTTGATGCCATCTCGGAGAACTCAGTGGTAGACTGTGTGGGTGTAAATCATACCCACGTGTGGTGCAGCCTTGGATTCTAATTTCCCAAGGTGATTTTCATTCCCGTTCATAACCCAAAGCTGACAACAAGCTTCAGTTTCATTTCTTTGGATGTTGATGATATTTTTTTTTTAGCATCCTTAGATGAAGGAGCTTCTCAAGGCCCTGTGCTCTATCCAGGCCTCGCTGGCCCGAGTCAGGGCTACAGCACTTACCTGCTGTAGACTGTGGCCTTCACACCTTCCACCTGGCCTCCAGGACCTTTTTGTTACTATGAAATCTTGACCTTGGGTCCTGGTGACAGCTGCCATGCTACCAGATCCAACCTGTCACTCTGATTCTTTCTTCTCTTCCTTTCTGGCCATTTCCTTTCTGTGATCTCTGTGCTCTCTGTCTCTCTCTGTCTCTCCCTCCCTCTCCCTCCCTCCCTCCCTCCTTCTCTCTCTCTCTCTCTCTCTCTCTCTCTCCCCCCCCCCATAGCAGGGAGTGGACTCATGGACTCACTCTGCCTGACCATTCCCTGTCACCTTCTGGTTTTCTGTGAGCCCAACAGGTTGGTCCTTCTGCCACAGACTTGGAATATCAGATCCGCCTCTTCCTCCTGTTATTCACCTGTTCACCTAGGCAAGCAGCCTAACTTCTCAGAGCCTCAGGGACAAAATTAAGATAAATACTAACTCCCTGAGCTTGTGGGGGGAAGATTAGCCAGAGAGTGCATCTAAAACTCCTTGTCTCGTGCCTGGTATGTAGTCTGAGTCCGAACCTCAATAGTGCCGGCATGTGGCTTTTGCTAAGTCGACCTTCACAGGTGGGCTTCTTAGGGTTCTGGTTTATTAAATCTGAGAGAGTTTGAGGTTTGCATATTAAAAAGCTCCCGATTGGCCACGAAGTTAGCCAACACTCCAGAAACACCCATCGTCTCGCTTCCTACTTGTAAGAGATAAAACAACGCCCTCTCTCTCTCCCCCTACCCTTGATATCTGCACCGTAGATGCGGGGAAGCCGTAGAGAAAAACAAGCGGCTCATCACGGCTGACCAGCGGGAGTACCAGCAGGAACTCAAGAAGAACTACAACAAGCTGAAAGAGAACCTCAGGCCCATGATCGAGCGGAAAATTCCAGAACTCTACAAGCCCATCTTCAGAGTGGAGAGTCAGAAGAGGTGTGAACAGGGCCAAGGAGGGAGAATGAACCAAGGGGCTAGGGGACAGATTCAAGACATGCTGTGCAAATGGAACTTTCTGGGCTTGGCCTAGAGCCTGTCCACAGGGCAACTTCCAAAGTCTGATCTGGTCCGCTTCCCTCCTGAGCCCCGGGACCTTCTCTTTGACCTCTCAGGTGCCCCTTTGCCTTGGCTTCCTGCCAGCAGCCTTCCTGGGGCCAGTGGCTGCCTGTGTTTATTCTGCTCAGTGCAAAAGGATCTTCACACCTTCGCAAGTTCACTGAGTTCCCCATCACTGATACCGTTTCCGTTTCCGGGGGCAGGGAGGAGGGAGAGTCCTACATCCTCGCTAAAAGGCTAATTACTCTTTCTCTCCTTTCTCTCCTCCCTTTCCAGAGACTCCTTCCACAGGTCAAGTTTTAGGAAATGTGAAACTCAGCTGTCACAGAGCAACAGCTAAGCAGGAACTCCCCCCGGCTCCTGGCGACTGCGGCCCCCACCCTGGAGAAGGCCTTGCTGGTACCGACAGCAGAAGACACTGGCCTCCCTTGGGCTGGCCGCTGGGCTCCTTGAGCAGAGAGCACTCCTCATGCTTTGGGATCCAAGGGACCACGGGAATGACACCCAAGTGGGGTCTAGTCAGATTTGGGTGGGTCAGATTGGGGAGATGACTCCCAAGGGATGCCTGTATATTTATTAAAGCACATTTTTTTCCATAATATTTTCCAAGACATAAAGAGTCCTACGGGGGAGTCCACATTCCCCTATTGACCCTAGAGATGACGTCGTCCTGTCCAGATTTGACCTCAAGAGTAAACCCATATGGGAAATAGAATTCATTGCATTTTAGGGGGAAAACAGAAGAATGTGGAGGCATACATGGAAATAAGGAGTGGGAGGAGGGGGGCTGATAGAGCAGGGGAATGGGAATATTGGCCAGAAATCTAACATTCAGGAGGGCTGGACCTTTGAAGACAGGTTATTTTTTTGGGGGGTGGGGGGAGGGTTGTTTTGTTTTGGTTTTGCTTCTTGGGTCACACCTGGTGTTTCACACCCAGGGTTCCCTCCTGGCTCATGCACTCAGGAATTACTCCTGGCAGTGCTCCGGGGACCATATGGGATGCTGGGAATCGAATCCGGGTCGGCCACGTGCAAGGCAAATGCCCAACCAGCTGTGCTATCGCTCCAGCCCCGACAGGTTATTTTTGAACATATTACTGTTTTTGAACTAACTGCTTGATTTTTACTATTATAATCATTTAGCATGCTGGGTTTAGAGCCACAAGCACCAATCGAGGGAATACTGGTACTCCGAGCAATCAGCTGGCTTGGATGCTGCATTTAACACGTGGCACTGCCCCTGCCAGTGAGTCCCACTTGAGTGTGGCTTCCTGATCACAGCTTGCAGCATAATGGGGACGGAATCAATTCCTCTATCATGCTTTGCACTTTTTGATGGTGGGTGGGGAGTGGGGAGCCATACCTGGTAGTGCTTAGGGCTTATTCCTGGCTCTGAAATCAGGGATCATTCCTGGTTCCAGGGTGGGGCTCAGGGGGACTGAATGGGGTGCTAGGAATCAAACCCCCAGTCGGCTGTGACTGTGTGCGAGGCAAGTGCCCTACCCACTGCACTGTACTCCAGCCCCCGTGTGTTTTTCCTTTATACTCATTCTGTTCTCTTGCTCTTTGGGGCCATCTTGATTTCTGTACAAAGATAACGTCTCTGCTTTTATTTGAGAGCACCGTGCTGTGCCTCAACTTATGTACATTGGTTTCTGTTTCACCCCCCAAATTCTTTTGACAATGTATTTTAGATAATTAGCAAAAATAATTGAGAATTAAATTATCTATTTTTAATATGACTACTTTGCCTGGTACTAAAAATGATATTGTAAACAAACCACTTCTTTTACAGCTAGTTTTTTTTTTCAAGTAGTATTTTAAAACAACTATTAATATTTGGGGAGGGTAGGTTGGACCACATCTGGGTGATACTCAGGGCTTACTCCTGGATCTGTGCTCCAGGGTCATTTTTTTGCTCAGGGACCTTATAGGGTGCTGACAATCCAACTGGGATACACATCATACAAGGGAAGCACCTTATCCTTGTACCATCTCGCTGACCCAGCTCTTAATATTTTGTAAAGCTCTTCAGAGAAGAATGTCGTATTATCATGGGCTTGGTTCAGACAATGTCTGGGGTCATGCCTGTTATGTAATATTTCATCCTGAGAAAGAGTTTAATTTTGATATTCCATAATTTTTGTTTAAACCATCATGAGTTAAAACTCTGAATGGGGTCTTTATTATCAGTAGTATTACTAGAGCTTAAATTTAAATGTCTAGCTTTTTGGGTTTTTTTTTTTATGTAGGAGTACTGCTATTTATTTAGCCACTGATTAGCTGATTGAATTGTGCATGAACTCCACCTTCCTTTTTTTCCCCACTTTTTATAATTTTATTTATTGAATCACCATGAGAGAAGTTACAAAGCTTTCGGGTCTAAGTCTTGGTCATACAATGAAACACCCATACCTTCACCAGTGCCCATTCTCCACCCCCAACAACCCCAGTATACCCCCATCCCACCCCCTCCCCCTACCTGTGGGGCAGATGATTTCCACATTACTCTCTCTCTACTTTGAGCACATTCAATATTTTGACACCAGACCCACCATTATTATTTGAGATTTTACCCCACCACTCAGATCTGTCTACTCAAAAGGCAAGAGTAGACAATTTGTTTTCTATTGCTGGTTATGAATAACATATGATGTCGCATGGCTGCAGTAGTGGCTGCGCAATTTCAAAATTCCAAAATTTTAACAATTAAATCTGGAGGGATTTCTGCCAAAACCTGCTGGGTTCTGAGATTTTCTCCTGAGACTCTGGGATCATGGTGGTTAAGCAGCTTGATCAGGAGCCAGAAAGGCCATTAATTGACTTGGGGTCTCATTGGGGTGGGGAGGACAGGACTGGCTCCACCCCCCCAAATGTCTCGTCACTGCGAGCCCAGACCTGACTGTCCAATGGCCTCTGGAGGATGACGGCCACCAAGCCGCCAAGGGGGAGCAGGCGGAGGGACAACACCCTTTCCCTCCCTCCTGGGGTGGCCCGGCGACAATAACCTACTGCGTGGTCTGGACGTATTTCTGCCAAAAGCCGCTGGGTTTTCAGATTTGTTTCTGAGTCTCTGGGAATTATGGCCATTAAGCAGCTTGATCAGGAGCCAGAGAGGCCATTCGTGGGCAATGACTTGGGGTCTCGTTGGGAGAACAGGACTGGCTCCACTCCCATCCTGTGAGGCCCAGCAAGTTTTGTCACTGCGGGCCCAAGCCTGACTGTCCAATGGCCTCTGGAGGATGGTGGCCACTGAGCCACCAAGGGGGAGCAGGTGGAGGGACAGCACCCTTTTCCCCCTGGGGTGGCCCAGCGACAGCAACCTACTGCGGGGTCCAGACACATTTCTGCCAAAGCCACTGGGTTTCAAGATTTGTTTCTGAGTCTCTGGGATCATGGCCATTAAGCAGCTTGATCAGGAGCCAGAGAGGCCGTTCGTGGGCGATGACTTGGGGTCTCGTTGGGACGGGGAGGGCAGGACCGGCTCCACCCCCATCCCATGAGGCTTTTTGGTTTTTAGGCAGAACTCTTTTGAAATTATATACATATATATATATACCTATTAAGGGATATATATATATATACATATATATACCTATGGGCTGGAGCGATAGCACAGCGGGTAGGACGTTCGCCTTACACGCAGCCAACATGGCTGACCCGAGTTCGATTCCTCCGCCCCTCTCAGAGAGCCCGGCAAGCTACCGAGAGTATCTCGCCCGCACGGCAGGGCCTGGCAAGCTCCCCGTGATGTATTCGATATGCCAGACACAGTAACAACAAAGTCTCCAATAGAGACGTTACTGGGCCCTCTTGAGCAAATCAATGATCAACAGGAGGGCCTTTACTTTACTTTTACTATATATACCTATATATATCATTGCCTTTTCTTAAATGAGTAATGTGAACTTGTTTAATTATATCTGCTCTTTTGCTTCAACGTAGCAGGTACAGGGTGAGAGCAAAGTGAATAGACTTTTGTTAGTAGCTTCCAAAGTCTCTCAGTTCAGTGAGGAAGAGCATCTATGAGAGCTACTCAGTCCTACAGAGCCTAACTCCAAAGTTTAAGAACCCTTATCATTATAATGCTCTAAGAAATTCTTAATTTTTTGTCCCTTGTGTTCAGATGTCTGAGGTCATTTTTTTTAAGTCTCCCCTGTGGCGTCAACACAGGAGTCTCATAAACATTTAGCAAATGACTGTAGATAAACGCTTCTCTAGAATAGCACTGTCTAATAGAAATGTTTTGCAAGACACACAGGTAATTTTTTAATGTTCACCCTCATATTCACAAATAGCACAGCGGGTAGGACGTCTGCCTTGCACGCAGCCAACATGGCCGACCCCAGTTCGATTCCTCCGCCCCTCTCAGAGAACCCGGCAAGCTACCGAGAGTATTCGATATGCCAAACACAGTAACAACAAAGTCTCCAATGGAGACGTTACTGGGCCTGCTCGAGCAAATCGATGATCAACGGGAGGGCCTTTACTTTACTTACTTTACTTTTATATTCACAAATATCATGTCTTCCGATCACACGGGATTGTGTTGCCCCTGGAAAATATTCAACTCCACTGGGCCAAAGGTGCTGGTTTTGTAGATAATGAAAAATGATTGGAAAGGTCGCCCGGGTCCTCACTGGAGGGACCCCCTCCTGGGATCTGAGCACTCATCTGCATCTCCTCCATCCCCTGCACCGAATGAGCCTTGTCCGGAGCTGATAGAGCTGGGCACAGGACAGTCCTCGGCACCAGTAGATACTACCAACTTGGAACTTACAGGAAGAGTTGAGGTGGGGTGCTCCCATGCAGTGCTCAGGAGATTCCTCCTGCCACTAGTCAGAGGTTCAACCCTGTGGTGCTAAGGATACCTGGATCAACCCACTGGTGTTTTGGGACACCCCAGGGCCACAAGGGACAGTGCTTGGAGGTCTCCGGCACTGAGACACTTAGGGTACTGTGTATCATGGTGTGTATTTCATGTACCTTGGCCAGAGACCAAAGTGAGGTCAGCAGCATGCAAGTCATGTGCCTTAATGGCCTGTCCTATTTCTCCAGGTCCTGCAGGGTCTTAAGGAGGAGTAGGGTAGAGGGGCTGGGGTGTTGGGGGAAAGACATTGATGAGGTTTCCCAAGAGAGGGGAACTGAGTGTGGAAGGAGCTGGGAGGGGGTGGGAGACAGGGCAGGGCCACTCTGAGGAGAGCAAGAGATGGGTGCCTGTGTAGGAATCCCCATCTGAGAGCCAGTCTCAGTCTGCAATGGGGATAGAAAGAAAATTCACGTGCCGCTCCTGGTCCTTCTTCACACAGCTGTTCTTTGGGTTTTGATAAAACTGGCCGTCTGGGGCTGGAGTGACTGCATCGTGGGTAGGGCATTTGCCTAGCGCGTGACCGACCCAGGTTCGATTCCCAGCATTCCATACGGTTCCCCGAGCACTGCCAGGAATGATTCCTGAGTGCAGAGCCAGGAGTAACCCCTGTGCATCGCCAGGTGTGACCCAAAAGGCAAAAAAAAAAAAAATACTGGCTTTCTCCGGAACTTCCACTGTGGGTGCGTGTCATCAATTAGGAACAAGTGAGCAAGCCAGCAAGCCCAAGGACTGTCTGACAGAGGGAACACACAGGAAATGCAGTTCACTCACCGTCCTCTCTCTTGGCTCCAGTCAGAGGTAATCAAGGGCTCAACTTGGGGGCTGGAAGAAGGACCCTTCTTCCCTATAATGGCAGCTCAAGCCC